GGTTGCCGGAGTAATGTTACGCAAGGAACGGGACGGCGGGCTGGCTGCAGCCCAGACCATGGGCTGGCTCCTGCTTCACACCCAGGGACTGGGACCTCTTCTTGCACCACAGGGCAACCCTGATGGCCTCACCTCAGCATGTGGATCTGGGAGCAACCCAGAGCACTAGAAGGTGAGGGACTGAGGTCTCCCGTCTGATTTTGTTATCCCTGGGACTTTGCGTGTCTGCAGACCCTCTCTCTTCTCTTGCTCAATTGCAGGGGTGAGTGTGGCATGACCTGTGCCCACCTCCTATGGGCATGGCCATTAAAAGAGGTTGGACCTGGTCCATGGGCACCTCCTGCCCCTGGCAAAGCAGGTGGGTTGTGCCCTTGGTGCCACTGCAGCACCTCCAGGAAGTCCTTCAGCTGAACCCACAGCCCCAGGGCTGCCAGCGAAGAAGCCGAGCACCCAGGGTCATGGCCACGAGGAGTTTGGGAGTGAGTCAGAGATCTGCGGCGGGGCCCGTGGTTCCCCCAGCCCCTGGATGCATCTCGTTTCCCATCTCCTGGAAAACTGGGACCAGCTCCAGCTGCTACAGCCAGGACAGCCCAGGAGACAGCAGAGACGGTCCATGAGAGACCTAGTTTCGGAGGGCTTATTTCGCCCCCTCTTTTGCATCATGTCACACTCCTGCGGGGACAGGACCGCTGGTTTTTAGCTGTACCCTGCCTCCAGCAGCAAGGAAGCGCAGTTGGGGAACAGTGACTGTGTCCTCCTACCGAAAAGGCATCCCAGGCTTTGCAACGCACCATTCCTGCCTGGAGGCATCCCAAAGCCTCCCCTCACTCCCACCGCTGCTGGGCTGGCTCCCCCCTTAGTGACTGCAGGCACTGGCTGAAACCATCCAGCAGGATGTGACATTGCTTTGGCATTGGGCATCCGAGATGTGGTCAAGCTCTGAGCTCAGAACAGGGGTCCCAGGGCCTTTGCCCTTGAGGGTGACAGAAGCTGAGGAGTGCTATCGCCTGCAAGGCCACATTCAGCAGGGTCCTGTACACCAGCAGGAGGTTAAGGTGGCAACAAGAACCTCTGGTGCCCAGCAGTATTCAGAAAGGCTCAATGTGGAATGCAGGCAACGTCTGCCAACTGGGAGCAATGTAGGGACCACTGTTTGCCAAGCTCAGGGTAGAAACAGAGCTGAGAGCCTGCTTGGCCTCCAGCCCCGTGAATCCCTTCTTGCTGCCCCACAGACATATCCTCTGAGTTGGAGAGATCCTCCCAGCACCCCTGGGGCACCCTCTCTGCCTGCTTATGGCTGGGGAAAGCTGGTGTTGCCATTGAGCAAGGGGCAGATGAGATGACATGTTTGGGCTGTCTATGCTGCCAGGCTATAGTGGTCCCCCCCCTCCTGAAGATGTGGTCCTTAAGAGGCACCCAGGTCCTAGGAGAGGCTCCCAAATAGCCAGACTGGAAGAGGAGCAAGCTTTGCACCTATTGCAGTGCTTGTGCTTCTTCTTGATGGCCCTTCCCATCTCGGGAGAGAGCAAGAGCCACAGAGGGGCTGGAGGCTCCTCCTGCAGCCCACGACCCACAGCCGGGCTGGGGAAATGAATGTGGAATGTGTCTCCCAGCAACCTGTGACTGGCAAACTCTGGCTCGGAGCTGGTGCAGGTGAGCGCCAGGGCTGAATTGCTGGAGGGTCCTCAGAAAAGCCAAGGGTTGGGAGCTGGTGCAAGATGCCCCTGCACAGCTGGCTTTGAGACAAGGCATCCAGACCCCACGTGCAGCAGCCTAGGGACACGCAGACCACCTCATGCTAAGGAAGACTCTGTGACCAGGATCATAGAATGGTTTGAGTTGGAAAGGACCTTAAGCTCATCCAGCTCCAACCCCTGCCCCGGGCAGGGACACCTTCCACTAGAGCAGGTTGCTCCAAGCCCCTGTGTCCAACCTGGCCTTGAACACT